CCAAGCAAGGACTACTGGTACAAATTATTTTGTGCTCTGTGGGGAAATACACATTTCAGGACTGTTAAATGACCTTATGGCATCCTATTACTACCTAGAATTTCCAGTGTGCATGTTCATTTGCTACAGCAAGGACATCTTGTCGTCTTCTTGACAAGAAAAAGCCATGGTCACAGCTATCACGCTCATGCAATTTGCAGCCTGTAGCAAATACGTCAGGGCATCTCGCGAGGTCTACACACTGTGGGAAGAAGCAGCGTGTGTGCCTGTGTATTTGGAGACAGGGAGCAAAGCGCTGCTCTGCCTAATCCTTTGCCCGGTTCACTAATCAGAGATGGGGATACCACCACAGTGGCACTAAGAAGCAGGGTGCAGCCATCAGGCTGGGGGTAAATACAACTCTCTACAGTACACCTCTCTAGCTTCAATCACTTACCTCTGGTAGCTGTGTGGTAGGGCCAAACTTGATGAAATATCAGCAAAATGTCAACAGTCCCTGAGAGACACCGACCTTCGCCATGGAGCAGAGTGAAACAATGACATATTTCTAAAAACTCTGCTGAGAAATTCAATCAGACTGTCAGGTTAAAATTCCATAATAAAAATACAAGTTTGAGGTTACAAGTAGGAACTGAGATCACTCTAAACTTTAATTTACCTTTCTTGATGCCCCTGGGTTGCTCTCTCAGATTACACAAAAATAAGGCACTTTCACTTTTTGGTTCCCTTGCATTAGGTCCGATGCTATAGAGGACTTAGAAGGGAAAAAACAACAGTATGGGAGTAGGTGCCAGAGATCTGCAGAGCTGGGTCTATATACTTGTGGAGCAGGTTCTTTAATTTCTCCATTCCCCCATTATTTGGAATAATAAAGAGCAATGTTGTTTCTCTACATTGCAAAGTTTGCAACAGGCTGAGATGCTGAAGTAACAAACAGCAGCACCAACCGGCCTAGGAATGCACAAGCTCCGACTGTTTTATCCCAGCAGGAGGTGGGCTTTATTCGGTTTTCAAAATCAAAGGCCTCTCTAAACAGCTTAGATGCACTCATATAAACCTGTGCAGAACTGACAGTTTAGGAAAAGTCTGATTTAGCCGTGTGATTTGTTATGTTCTAAGACAGCTATCGAAGTTCATGGCACTCTCACTTCTGCCTCCCTCACAATTAATAAGCCCAACTTCCTTTTTGCGCACATGGACCAATGCATTTTTCCCCTCAAAGAATAAGCAGAACAGTAAAAGCAAAACCAAAACCACTCCCTGGGTTCTGTATCATTTTCCATTCTTCCAGGAACAGAAAGCTGTTCTGCAAAATTCACTTTGCAGGGCTGGTGGGAGAGCGGCCATCTCTTAACCACCGCTCTCTTCTAAGGAAGAAAAGCTTCACTTTCCCCAGCTTCACCCTGGAGAGCAGCTCTGCAGGTCCTACTCCTGTACCTGATCCACGGGAAGAGACCTGCAAGCAGCTTCACAAGCACCCATGGGACTTCAGAAGTCTGCACAAGACTGACTGCCAGATGGGTCTCCAATCTGAACACAGAAGGGTCTGTCAGCATCACTGCTTTTCCCTCCTGCTCTCAACAAACACTAAGCTAGCACTCAACTTACCCAAGGAGGTAAGGAGGGAAGTAAAAGAACAATAGATTTCGAGCCAAAACTTTTTTTCTGTAAAAGGATTGACATCAGCATTGCTTTATCATGTTCCAGAATTGCCTGATGTTAGCTGCTATCAACTGAGTCACAGCAGAAATGCCAGGGACATTTGTTAGCATGAGGCACAGCTTTAGGGCTAGGGCAGTCTACCAGCACTGCAATCAGCTGAGATTCTCTCTTCCATTTTCCAGCTCAGTGCTCAATTCCATATTAAACAAGCACTAGTACAAGTGGAGCTGTGGAACATGAAGCTAGACAATAAAGCCCTGAAGAGCAGAGGGAAGGCAGCTCCATCTACTTTGTCTCCCTCCAGGTGGAGGAGGCAAACAGAAGTTCAATAGCTCAAACTCTGTCCTGCGGGGCCACCCCCCTCCTGCCGTAAAACAAAGCAGGGCAGGATGCTCTCCCCACATCAGGGAGCAGCGTCCAGCAGCGCTCAGACAAGCTGCGTTAGCTGCCTCCAGCAGGCACAAGCAATCCATGGGAGTCTGCATCAAATCCACCTCTGCTTCCATCTCCCTCTTGTCCCCATAGCACAATTAAGCTCCCCAGGCACTCCCCACTCGAAACTGTCTGCAATTCAGCCCCCACCAGCCCCTAATTCACAGAACTCCGCTCTGAGTTGCTGCCTTCCCCACAGTCACGGGGAGCCAATGCAGTCTTTATCCATTGTCCTTCTCAAACGGCATAGCACCTCCTGCATCCTTCCCTGTTAACAACTATGCCTTCTGCTTCATTCCTGGAATAGCTTCTAACTCTTTCCTTCAAGCCAGATTCATTAACCAGCTGCTGCAGAGCTGTTTGCCTCCCCCAGGTACTCTGTGCATGTCATTTGTTAATGACTCATCTCACACTGGGCTCATTGCAAAGACTCCCCCCTCCTTTTGCAGCACCAAGCGCATTGCTGGCACACCAGGAAAGCCAAACATGCAAACAGCTCAGTTCCTTCCAATACCCCATTCTTCATCCTCTCGCCGTCAAGCATGGGACAGCTCTTTATTCAAAGCGCTATTTCCCCTCTGTGCTTCTTTGCTGATCAAAGGCAATGCATACCAAAGTGTAAGGTCTTCACCCCCAGCCAGGCTTTCAGAACAGCAAAAACATAAGAACAAACTCAAAACTTCCAATACACTAAAGATGCTTCAGCAAACTAATGTGACTCCTGTAACTGGCAGGGAATAAACACCAAGGATGCCAAATTCACATCCATTTCCCCAGCAGACTGTGGCTTGCCGAGGAGCTAAAATGATTTCCAAAGGCATTTGTATTCCTCCTGCCTATTTGTAGGGATGATATTAAAAATGGGAAGGAAAGAAAACAGCTAGTGAGGACCACAGAACCTCTCCTCACTAGTCAAATCTAGTGAGGAACTGGATGACCAGTACACTGCAGCTGCCCACACAGGAAGCCAGAAACACACTCAGTCTATCTCCATCACACAGATCTATTATACTTGGGTACACAAGGTCCACCTACACCTCCTTGAGAAGCTGTCAGCTAAACACTGGGAGAAGCTAGTACAGAAACTAGTAGTGCCACTGCTTGGGAAACACTTCCCTTGAGATATAGGGGAAGGCTTCATGCTCTGGGCTTATTCCCTTAACATCCTTCACCTGAAATTTTTTGGCTAGCATTCTAGGGGGAGAGCAAGCTGGCAAAGAACCAGAAACCAAAAGACTTGACCCAGAGGCAGCTGGATGGGATGTATTTAGATTCACCTCTCAAGATTAAAAGCTGGTGTGCCTGCACTGCAGGAGAAGAAATGGAGAGGAATTTACTTTCACGAGTGTACTACAAGTCCTGTGACTGAGGACTGAAAACACGCAGATGGCAAAGAATTCTGGTAGCGGTAAGGGGAAGGCACGTGCATTGCACAAGTGTGTGCAGGTGACAGCTGGCTGCAGGACTGGAGCATTGTCACAGTCCTCTGTTTGAACAGCTCCACTGCCCGCTCACAGAAAGCCCTTCTCTTTACAGCATCGAGTGAAGTGAAATGCAGGGACCAAACTACAAAGCAGTACTGTGCTAGACCCAGAGGAAGGAATCCTGGGACTGGCCTAAGACAGAGCACAACTACAAACCTTTCACAATCAGGCATCAAAGGTGTTTAGGCTCAGGGCATTGGGCTTAGCTACTGGCTTTGCCACAGATCCTTCTGCACAAATTTGGACAAAGATGAACTACCGACAAAATGGGAAGAGCACTTCCCTGCCTTCCGGATGGCATCAAGAAGATTAGTCACAACTTCTGATAACATCAAGAATCAAGTAAATGCTCCAGTGAACAAGTGCTGTTGGACTACAAGCCTAAACCAGCCTCAAAGCCAAGACTCCAGACTTGGATATTAAATCAGCATTTTCAATTTTTTTTCTAAAATGTGCTTTTTTGTGAATTACTGTTTCAACGCCAACCCCATCCTCCCCCTTAAAAAAACCCCAGACTTTGCCAAACTAGGTGCAAATCACCTGAAGTTAGTCTGTAACAAAAAACACCACAAAACAAAGGCTGAAATGCTTTAGAATCACAACAATGTACAAAAAAAAAAAAAAAAGGGAGGAAAATACAACCTGAAAGTGTTCAAAATTCAGAAAGACTAGTCAAGTCCATTGCTTCAGCAAGGGGATGCTGCTGCGACCCCTGCCAGTGGGTCCTGGGCCACCAGCCTGCCATGATGCTAACTGGGCTCTTCTCCCATGCAGACCACTGTCACTAGCATCCAAGGAAGAACAAATGCATTACCCTTTGAAGGTATCAGTGGGGGAAACAACTCACAAGCAGCTCTGGGAGGTCACATCACATTCAGAAGGAACAGTTTCTAGTATGCCCCTAACTAACCACCTGCAAGAAGGAAGGCTTGAAAGAGCAGCCTGCTTCCTCCTTGTTGTATTGATGCCTCAGAGATGCAGAACAGTGCTTTAAATCTGTGAGGGATTAAAGGGCTTAGTAAGGGCAGTAAACAGACAGTTAAGTAAACAGCCCAGCACTGGATCTCATCTTCACAGAGCGAGGTAGTGTGAATTTCACCCCAGTTTAAAATAGACAGGGGTAGTGGAAAGGCTGAAGACTTCCATGTAAAGCAGTTCCTGGCCTAGAAACCTTTCTGTGCTCCCTTTGGGAATGAAAAGATCTGTGTTGATGGCTCCCTCACTCCCAGCCTGGCTTTGGTAGCCACACTTCAACCCTGGGATTCAGACACTTGCTACAGAAGTTCTCCCAAGATCTCATTTCATACAGCAGCTTCCTCAAGGTTAAGCAGCAATGAAACTGGCTGGGAGGGAGCAAAACTGTCCACAGATTTTTTTATTGTTTTTCCCCTGCCCCTTTTGGTTAGTCCCTCTCATTAGAAGTCCCTCTTTACAGGACCAGAACAGGGATGCCCTGGAAATTAACAGGGGCTGCACAGCGTAACTTAGCCAGGTGCTGCTAACTGGGAGCTGTATTCAAACAGGGCTTTTATTTGCCAGCCTGGAAGGGACTGGCCCAGAACCCACTGAAAAAGGAGACGCAGGCCCTTTTTTGCTCCTCCTGTTGTCATTCCTAGCTGAATGACATTTAGATGGTATGTTCTAGTGACGGCTGGAGACCAGCCCTTTGACTTTGGACATCTTCTTTGTGGGCTGCCTTTGTTCTGTGTGTGGAGGGCACTCTCGCTCTACCAGCTGCTGTTCCATCTCCTGTGCCGACGACGAGGCTGTAGCTTTTAATGTTTTCTTTATGTTTGTGACCTGGCCAAGAAGAAACAGTCAATCAACACCTGCTTCTTCCTCCCCTTCCAGTAGAAACTCTGTTCATAAACATACTGGAAAACCCCCGGAGTATAGAGCGGAGATTTTAAAATAAACTCTACCACCAGAAACATGCTCTGCAATTGCATTTATTAAAGGTAATGTTTCATCCTCACTTACAGCCAGAGTTGTTAATATTTCCAGTCTGGCTCCAATATGGAATAACTAGAGATTACTTTTTTTTTCCCCCTAAGACACAATGGCATAATATTGTAACAGCTTTCTGGCTGGCTGGAGGGACCTACCACTGCCTTGGTGCAGAAGGAAACCATCCTACCATTATGTTGGCCAGAAGCAGGAAGGACAAAGGAGACTGTGAAAGAAATGAACTTACACTTAGGACAGCGCTTGAAAAGGGAAAATGCCATTTGGCCTAGCTGGCCATCTGAGCCACAGATATATGCTAGAAGCAGGAACAGAGACTGGTTTTGTGGGAGGCAGCAGTACTGCTTCTGTTACTCTGGCTGAAAAGGAGAGATACAGCACCAGGCACCATACTCTGTCCCCTGGAACCCTGTAGGGCTCACCAGAAATACAGTGAGCAAACCTTAAAAAAAAAAACCCACAGGCAAAAACAAGTTTGGGAGTCAGGTGTGCCAACTCCAGGCCAAAGGCATCTGGCAAACCAAACACGCTATGGATGCCAATCAAGCTGCCAAGCATATGCTGCTTCGGAAGGCAAACGTAAACCTGCAGGGATGCAGCACTCTGCAAGAAATAAACCCTGAGCAAGTGTCTCGGGAGGACCATTTTCACCTTTACAGCTGTGTTAGCCAAGATTTGTTCTCACAAGTAAATACACATCAGGAGGGGCTAAAATCGCGTGCCCGTGCTGCCATCTACCGCCTAGCTGCAAATGTGACAGAGGCAGGAGCACTCCAACGTCATGCTGCTGAAGAGAGCATGTCAGAGAGCCCTGTCTAGGTGCTCAACTTGACCCCAAGAGAAAGACCCCGAAGGAAGCTGCTGAGGGCACTTTTTGCAAAAGCAATGAGACTCAAGAGACTTCTGTTAATTACACTTTCACGTTTAAAACACAGGGAACTGTTTTTTCTTCCTTCCTGCCTTGCACCAAAGGAACAGAATTACATCCAAACTGTGTTAAAAGCACACTTTTCCTAACAAATCAATTCAGGAAACTATAGCTAGTGCACCCACTTAGCATCTTTTATAAAGAAAAATTCCAGCCTACTCAGAGTGGGCAAATTTGATGTTTGTGGTGTTACTAGCACACGGAAGCAGATGTGTCTTCTTCCCACCCCAAACCAGCACATCTGATTTGCATGATGGCTAGCTTATTGTTTGTGAAAGCCACAACCATTAACCAGGTGTTACCAGATTGTTTTCTTCAGTAAACAAACATTTATCAAAAACCATAGAGCATCTGAAGTGACTCTGTACCCACCTCCACCTCTACCTGCTGCTGAGTTCGGTGATGGTTCTCCTTGTATTGGTTGGCTCTAAGTACTTGCTGCTCAATTCCTAAAAGAACCGCTTCACAACCATCACACCTGCAAGACACAATGTTAAACAGTGTTTACACATTCTCTCTGGAGCTGCTCAATCAGGCAATTTGAAAAGTCATGCTTGCCTAAAAGTTTAGGAGATTATTAAACTTACATTTTAAGTAAATTTTCTATTTAATTTATATTTGTATTAAATTACACTTAAAGATTGGAGTTCCAAAAAGCTGGCAAGAAAAAGCTTTGCTGTTTACTCAATGTATTTCACAGCATTTGTTAGAGAGTCCATGTTACTCTTACCTGCCCATCAAAAAGTAAGCGCAGGTTCAATGCACTTCCAACTTCCTTTTCAATCAGAATTACTGCTTAAATGGGGATGCAACACATATTTCAAAAGTAAGTAAAACTTTAAAATTAAACAAGTAAGTGAAAGTGAGAGAATCCCCCTGCCTGCTAAGTGTTCAAAAGACAAGAGCATCCTCCAACCCAGAACTCGTAACTGGAGAGGATAGAAAGGGACTTGGCAGTGGGTTCATTGTTACCTTCCAAACAATGCTGTAAGGTCCTGGAAGCTGCCAGAGCCCTTCCACTGAGATGGGATTGAGGGAGTTGGAGTAGAGAAGCAAAAAACCTGCCCCCACTTCAGGACAGTGAATTTGCACAGCAGTTTAATTACTTTTCACACACCCATTACCACAGCAACTGGGATGCAATTCCCAGGTCAGCTCAGAACCTGCCACAGGCTCCACCCTCTACAAGGGAATTTCTTTGGGTGGGAAGGGAATCCTACAACAAGATGAGAAGCAGCTTCCTGGCAGTACAAAAAGACAGTACCACAGTCTCAATATGGCTTCATGCAACCTGCATTTGCAGGAGCAAAGAGAAGACAAAGGCATCTGAAACTTCAAACTTGAAGAGACATCCTCTCCAAAGAACTGTGATTCTCTGGAATTTGCCCATGCAGTTCTCATCACAGTGAAAAAGGCTGAAAAGTAATAGACAGTTCTGGCTTTGTTATCAAGTGTAACAGCAAAAAGGGGAGTAGCTCCCACCACACGACCATGAGTCCAGTTTGGTATGTCTGTCTGAAAAGACCCTTGGCTCCTTACTAGGATTCTGCCATGTAAAAGCTATGGTGAGGCAGAATCTCAAGACCCTAGTATAGTTTGGCTTGATATATAACACAAATTGAATCCTAGATGGGATCTTGGAAAACTTGCTCAAGTTTCCAAGTTTGCTAGACTCCTCCTCCAAGTGCCTCCTTACAGCATAAGGCTCCTGATTAATGGAACATGGTGAAATTGAGCCACCATTTGAAACTTTGAGGAATATAGAAAAAGACAGGACAAGCTACGTACAAGGAACAAGGAAGGTGGAGAGACTGCCTCACCATTCCTGGAGTGTTTTGACAATGTTACTGATGTCCTTCTTCTGAATGTCTCTGCCGATACAAAAATCCACCTCCAGCACCTGGTTTCGCTGATCCAACTTCCCTTGGATAATATCTGTATAAACCGCTTCAATAATCAGATCTTCCAACTCTCTCAGATTCCTCATATCCAGGTCCTTCAGCAACACAGAATAGGGAATGCACTAAAAACAGCAAGTCCAAGAATAAGTTAACAGTCCTAGAGCCAAAACGAACAGCTAAGTCTCAGGAGGTCAAGACCCAAATGTTTATTCTATCCTACACTTTAACCTGCAAGTACAGAACAAACGCCTGCTACTAGCCTACATAACATTCTGACACAACTTTGGTAATTCCTGAAGTTTTGGCACACCATGTGCTGGAGGAAAAAAGGTAACAGGATTGTAGAAGAAATTAAGAGCATTGCTGTTTTCTCTAGAACAAAAAACAGGTCAGTGTTTTTAAGAATAATTCTCCATCTCCAGCAGTGAAAGAAATCACACAAAGTTTTGTGGCTCTTACTGACCAATTTGTGTGGCAGTTCAGACACCTCCACATCTCACCCACAGAAGCTCACCAAGTTAATGTTCCACATGCACCACGTGAGAACACTGCACATCACAGGTACTTTCCTAGTTGCAGGATTTTTTGTGAGTACTCATGCAGTCTGATACAACTTCAATCTATGGAATTTATGCCATTTTCAAAAACAAAAATAAACAAAAAGACAACTGCTGTCATACACAGTGTACTTTACCTTCATTCTGGAAGCCAGGCTTACAATCGTCAAGTGTTTCAGCTTGTTTTTCTGAGTCGTTGTTAATTCAGGCAGGTTATCTTTGTTCGCTGTTAATGTAAAAAAGACAAGACTCAAGACTTTCCTTCAAGAATTACATAATCCAGGCTATAGAACTGCAGGCTAGGTACGCTACAGTAAACCCTGAAAGCCCAAACTCCTCCAGCTACCATGGGTGCTAGTGAGCAGAGAAAGCTGCCGCTGATGACAGATTAGCATACCCACGGAGAGACAAGAAAAGTTAAAAAACAAGTTGGCAATGCCATTCTTCTCTGCTTCTTTAGTAATTCTGGTTTACTAATCAGAATGTAATTCACATCTACACAAGTTGTGTACTGCTAAAATGGTTGGTCAATGCTTTGTTTCTACCACCAAGTCATATTTATTTCATTAACGAGACAACAGAATAAAATCGTCCCTCTTTGCTGATCTGGCTGTAAATACAGCTGGTTTTATTTCTCTGAAGAGCTGCAGAATATAGGGTTGAAGCGTAAAGTACCAGGCTGAGGAAGAGAGGAGAAATTATTCATCTAGATGGCCTCACTATCATTGTGTTATGTCCATGTGCTTCATGAATATTTAAAAAACAGAAAGGAAACTGGCAGCTTTCCAAAGCAAAGAAACTCTTTAAAATATCTGCTTTAATGGAAATTAGTATTTCAGGAGCACTCAAGTTCTCCCATCCATCCCACCTCATTCAATCCTCTACACTTTGACTACTTTTCCAAATGAAAGAAAGAACTGCACTGTCACCCGCTGGGACACAAGACCCATGCACAGCAAACGCATCCTCCAATCAGTCACAGAATTCATGAGGCTCGTGTTGCTCCATAACTACCGGAATTTCCAGTCCTTGCACTTGTGGATTCCACTTCTTACAGGAACTAGATAGCTCACCCACTGCAGTGATAGCCAGCGCTATGACAGAATTATTTGTCACACTCTGTAATGGTCTGGATTAGGCTGCTACCCACAAATGAAGTATTAAATTGTAGCAGACTGGAAGCGCATAAGCGCCAGAGTTAAAAGCACATCCCAACAGATACTAAGATGATTCACAGATAGTCCTTCTGAAGCTGTGTAAAAGTCATTATTTCAATTTGTATTCTAGCTAAGAAATGCTAGAATGCTTTGTTTCAGCAATGCTGTCACAGAATAAAAGGTTATCCCATAAACCATACAGGTTTATATAAATAATGCAGAACAGTTTTGTCTAAGTTTTCTGCCGCTTCCATAACCTGTGTCATCTAAATTTCAAAACAGGTGTCTGAAATTGCACTCCGCAGAGGTAAGCGGCCTGTGAATGTCAATGAATACTGCTACAGACCAATTCAATCCAGTGCTGCAGTCCAATCCAAACCAGTAAAACACCATCATCTCTAGCCCTTCCTCCACATTTTAGCAATTAAAATGCGCATATGACCCAGAGACCCCCTACAAACAACCCTCCTCCCAAGCAAATTCTGCTTTTGGACACTTTTACCCAGCCGCACTACAGGTACCACAGAAAGCAAAGAACTGCCTCTGACAATTGTAAAGGGCACCCCAGTCTCATACTCTGCAAACAGGCAGCAATCTCTTACCTACATAGTCTGGGTATGTTCCATACGCAAACAGGTTCAGCAACTGGAAATAAGCAGCATTAGACCCTTCAGCAAGCTGGATGGGAAGAAAACAAAAGAAATTCCACATAACAGATATTGGTAGGGAACTTCTCCAGAAAATGTTTTAAGTCTACATAGGACAAGCAGTATCTAGAAAAGCAATTATTATGTCCTGATCTTAAAGAGCTGGACCCTTTCTAAGGCCTCATGAGCAGCAGCAAATTTCAGCTGTTTCAGAGTCAAAATGATTCAGCCATTTCTATGCATCAGAACTTAACTACAGTTTGGACTGTCAACTGCTTTGTGTGGCACCTTAGGAGGTAAAAGAAAAAGGCAACTTAATTTCACCTGACATTCTACATGGCCAGCTCTTCTCATCATGTGACAAGCAAGCAGGCAACAGTTGGTTAAGCATCCTTGCTAGTACTGGGAAAGCTAGGACAGCCTACCTGCAAAGCCACAAAACTTCAAAGCAAAGCAAGCTAGAACATTTTAAGTTGAGAGCATTTGAAAGTAATAGCACTCCCCTCACATGCAAACACATCTCTGGAATAACTGCAGCACCAAGCAGTGATTTTTAGTAAGCAGTTGTTTTTTTTTAATACAAGTTGCTGCACACAGATCCAGGAGAAAAACATACTTGCGATTTGATGCTGAATAACCATAGAGGCATTTTTCAGCATATCTAATGGCCCATTTGGAAAGCCAAATTTGCTGTATGCCACATTACCCCAGCTGCAGAGATACTCAACCTAGATTCCCTCACTGTAGTAGAGAGGGGTGCTGGCGAGCCACTCTCAATAAAAGCTCTGGAACTTACTTTTCACCTTGGTTTGAAATGGTTTGGATTTGGTTACCACCCAGGCCTGATACACTAGACATCTATTCACAAAGACTTTTGGAGAGCATTGAGTTATGCTTTCCAGGGCAATGAAGGAGTAGAAAGGGATTTTTTTTGTTGGTTTTGGCTGGCTAGGTGCCTTCTTAAAATTGTTACTGTGCTGCTGCCAGGTTTTTGCTGTATTAGCAATCACATTAAGGTGTCAAAGCTTTATATAGGTATTTTTTAACACCTAATAAATACAGGCAAAAGCAACATCAAATATACAAACATCTCAGAACCAAAATAAGCCACACCAGGCCCTTCCTAGCACAGAAATTTCACGTACGGGCTGTGGAAGCTTCTGGGGATTCCTTATACTGGGAGTGCAGAAGGGGCGTTAGGATAGAAACTCATCTCCTACCTCTTGCACATTTGTTAACTCCAGTAGCTCTCCGAAGACATAAACCCCAGGAGCCTCCAGCACTTGATTTATAAGAGCAGTCAGAGCTGAGCCACTTGTACCTTTGGCTAGTAAAATAAACTGCTCTAGAAGATTGCAGGACGGCTTCTGTTCTCCTGCCATTCTAGGTTTTCAATCTGTCAATAAAAGAACACGATATTAATACATCCTTTCTCCTCTGCTGAATTCTGTCTGGCAGCAGATCAGAAGGTGCACTCGGCATAGTAACGTTTTGGTGTCAGCAGAGCCAGGTTTTTCTTCAGCATTCAGAGGGCAGGCCAGGAACCCAGCAGGTTTGAATGCTGATTTATCTGGGGAGTGAAAATGATTCACACAATATCTGAGCAAATTTCTGCAAACTGTCTGGTCGATTCCCTAAAAGGATCTACTCCTGCTAGCAGGAAAGGAGTTCAGACTCCATAGTGTTTTCAGACTTTTCCTTCTACTGATGCTGCCAAATAATGGCAAGTGCAAAGATGTTTCTTATTACACCTTTTAGAGACCAGCTAAGACGTCCTCCTTCCTCATTACACAGCTTCAAAACAGCAACTAACTTAATTCTCCGTGAAGAATTGATCCACCTTGTAGATTCGCACATTGTACCTTTTCATTTGACATAGCCTATACATAAAGTGTGCGTACATAATTCCTATTGCTTTCTGAGCCTAAAAGGCAAAAAGAACTGTGGCCTGTAAAGTAGCTTACCAGTCTACATTGTATGGTTAAAATGTTTTGGGTTGACTGGAAAACTAAAGTGACAAAAATACCCTTTCTACAAAGGCTCTATTTAAGTCCCTGTAAAGAGAAGTCTTTGTCTTCAGCTGCTGCCTGACATTTCTGGTGTGCCTGTTGTCTCCCAGCACCAACACATTGCTTTTGAAATATAAAACACTATTTATTAACAAGTTCAACAAAATAAGTTATTTGTTTACACACAACTACAAAAAAACTTCCGAAACATATTATACAGACACCAAACAAAGTACTTGGCAGATAAGGGGGCATTTTGTGTTATGTTTGTATCGGGTAATTCTGAAGAACAGCATGTAACCTTTACTCTGGTGAAGAAAACCAGACACCAGAGAACCTGTCTCACTCAGTGTGACCACTGGGGACACATCTGCCCTCCTGTCAGTCACACAGGTGTTTGCGCTGTTTGTCATGCCGAACCAAATCAAGACTTGTGAAGGCAGCATAGCCAGCTTCCTTTATTAGTCAACTTCTAAAAATATACTTACTCCATTCCATTACACCTGCAGGTACAAACGGTCTCAACCAGAGCACCAGAGCAATCTTTTGCACTCTCCACACAAAGACTTCTCGGTTCTCAGTGTAAAGTCTCTTTGGGATTCTTTTCATCAAAGGCACACGTGCAGTCTGACTGAAGAGTACCTCAGTTTTGACTGAGAAATCCCTACAATAGAATAACTCTCAATGTGGCCTCCTAATACACCGGAAGGTACATCAGTACACATCTACCTGCTCACAGATAAGGAAACAGACACAGACGACAGCCAATTTTCTCAGGAGAGCGCATGAAGTGACTGAGCTGGGAACGAAATCCGGATTTCACGGTTCGCAAG